AGCAGCAGCAGCAGCAGAGAGCGCAGCCACACACCCGCAACACTAGCAATGCTGTGTAGAAGCGCTGGCGGCTGCTGTCCGTGCTGCAGCTGAGTGAGCTGCTTTCTCCTGCTGCTGCTGCTGCTGCTGCTGCNGCAGCAGCTTCGGCGTCGCTTTGCTGGTGCTCTGCTTCCGTTGAACACAGTCTTGCTGCAGCAGCAACATCCGCAGCAGCAGCTGCTGCAGTAGCAGCAGCAGCAGGAAAGTCTGCAGCAAGCCCTGCTGCTGCAGCTGCTGCTCTTGAACCCCCCGTCTGCTGCTGATCGAGCTGCTGCAGCGCGCGGATGAGGCAGCGCAGCAGCAGCAGCTGCTGCGGAGACAACGCCAACCCAGGGAGAGGCAGCAGCAGCAGCTGCAGCAGCAGCTGGTATTCTTCATCACATATAGAAGCTCGAACGGGGCTCATAAGAAGGGCTACAGCAGCAGCGGGTGTTAGTATTGGTTCTGCTGCTGCTTGCACGTTTGCTGCTGCTGCTGCAGCACCACCACCTGCTGCTGCTGCTGCTGCTGCTAACGGTGCATCTGCGGGTGTATGCTGAGCTGCTACCTGCTGCGAAGCTGCTGCTGTCTGCTTTGCTGCTGCCTCGTTTGCTGCCGCCTCCCCCTCCCCTGCTGCTGCTGCTGCTGGTGCTGCTGTTGCTGCTGCTGCTGCTGCTGCTGCTGCTTCCTTTGCTGGACTTGTGAACCCCAGCAGCTCCTTAACGTCGAAGGGGTCCTCATCAGCTGAAGTTTTCTCTGGCGAGCCAAAGAGACAGAAAGCAGCAGAACGTTCTTCTGCTGCTGCTGATGCTGCTGCTGCTGCTGCTCCTGTTGCTGCTGCTGAGAGCCCTAAACCCCCACCAAAAGTATCCACCCAACTCCCATGCTGCAGCAGCTGCTGCTGCTGCTGCTCTTGCTGCTGCTGCTGCTGCCAGGGGCTCATGCCCCCAGCGCCAGCAGCAGCACCTGCTTGGCTCTCTTTGAAGCCTGCAGCAGCAGCAGCAGCAGCAGCAGCAACAGCAGCGGATGGATGCATGCTTGCAGGGAGGCAGCGCCGAGCCCAGTGTACATACACCGCAGCACTCTTAGGCCAGCAGCGGCGTTGCTGCAGCAGCCGCTGCTGCTCTGCTGCAGTGAGATCATGATGCTGTGTTATTTGCTGCTGATGTTCTGCTGCTTGCTGCTGCGCCAGCAGATCCGTCAGCAGGCATGCTGCTGCTGCCATTGTCTGCTGCAGCAGCTGCGCTAGCTCGCAGCCTGTCTTTGGCTCACACTCAGCGCAAACTGCTGCTGCTGCTGCTGCTGCTGCTGCTGCTGTTGATGTTGTTGCTGCTGCAGGGATGACGGCTCCGCATACAGCGCAGCAGCGAGAGTCTCCCGCTGCTGCTGCTGCTGCTGCTGCTGCTGCTGCTGATTCCCGGGGCGTGAGGTCCTGGCCAAAGGACTCGAGGCTGAAGGAGAATTCGAATGATGTTGTTTCTGCTGCTCGGCCCTGCTGCAGCAGCAGCTGCTGCTGCTGCTGGTGCTGCTGCTGCTGCTTCATGCGGGGGGATAGCCCCACAGCTAGGAGACACCGCAGCAGCACCAGCAGCAGCCAGCGCGCTGTTGCGGTGTATCCGCAGCGCAGCAGCTCCCGCAGCACCTCTGGGGTGTACAGGCAGCAGCCTCCATGGTTTCTTGTTGTTCTGCTGACAGCAGCAAGCGTCACCTGTTGCTGCTGCTGCAGCAGCTGCTGCTGCTGCTCCGGGTCAGAGACACCTTGTTGCTGCAGTTGCTGTTGCTTCGCCCGAGCCAATGCCGCATTGATTGCTGCTGCTGCTGCTGTCATCGCATGCACTTGCTGCTGCTGCTGCTGTTGCTGCTGCTGCTGCTGCTCTGCTGCTTCCTTCGCTAGGCGGTAAGCTTCTATCACTGCAGCAGAAGCAGGGCCCCACACTGCGCATGCAGCAGACAAAGACAGAGGAATGAGGCCCTTTGCTGCAGCAAGAAGCTCGCTGGATAGAACCCGGAAGCAGAAAGAAGATTTGCTGCTGCTGCTGCAGTTGCTGCTGCAGCTGTTGCTGCAGGTGCTGCTGCAGATGCTGCTGCCTTCTGCTGCATCCGCCGCCTCCATCTGTACCAATAGAGAGCCATCATAAGACCACCAAGCATCATATACACAAACAGTGCTGCTGCTGCTGCTGCTGCTGCTGCCGCTGCTGCTGC